TTGAATATTAAACTTAGAGGAAGCTATCTCGACTTTGTATTCCACTCGTAGTAGCTCTTGAAAGTGTCCCCCAAAAAATCAGCAAAACTCATACCATCCTTCGTCCATCTCTTCTCCAGTGGTGGCACTCTCTGAGCAATCGTATTCCTAAAAACATCAGCCCTAGTGCACCTCTCAGGCATGCTCAGCTTGAAGTCGACGGAGGTGTCCACGAAGCATGGACAGCTGATCCTCGCGATATTGGGTACGGCCGCACCCCTCACACAATGAGGAGTGGCGACTAGCAAGCCACCGGTGATGATCTGTAAGCACTCTCCACATTGAATGACCATAATATCATCAGGTATAGTAACCTTGGCAGTGCGACTGTTACGGTCAGCGACCCAGAGGCCGGCACTAAGGCGGTCGGGGTTGGGCACTTCTTCACCGGTATCATGCTTTACGTAAATATCAGGAGTAAGGCAAGTAAGGAAGCCAGAATCGTTGTGCCAGCCGATCCATGCATCCTCCGCTTGAGACTCCGTGGGGAAGTAATAGAGTAATCTCCCCTTAGCCTTCTGTGTTTTAGACATCTCCTTATAGAGAGTGTTAGGAGCATAACCATTGACTCGAGAGGTGGCCAACAGATCGACGTGCCTCGACAGGGCCTTAGCCATATCGTACATAGTACAACCCAATGCTCTACACCTTCCTCGCATATCAGGAATATCTGTTTCGGCCGGCCATAGGTTCTTGGGGACAGCCCATGGAAAGGCCTCCCGCAGCTCTGGCAGAGGATCGTCGGTGAGGGGGTTGAAGTAGAAGCTGCCCTTAGCGAGATCAGGCTTATCACCGAGTTTCTCCTTACCGTGGGACCATCCCACATTGTACATACTAGGTTCATGTTCTAAGGCTTGGAGCTTCGACGGAGGTAGAGTCGCCAACTTGTGAGATAGGGGTAAGACGGAGCGCCAAAGCTCCTCCCAGTGGGGAACTCCCCTAATGCCAATCGCACCAATACCGTCCGGTCCGAAGGCCTTGTAGACAGCCTCGCTTAGGTCGGCTTCGGGACAGGTGACATCTTCATATTCAACAATAACGAGATCTGCTGACATTGGAGGAAAAATAGGAAACTTATGAAAATTGGTTACAAAAATGATGGTGAGTCAACCACTAAAGCCTGTTGAGGCTGCCTATGAGGTTGTTCAATGTCTCTGTGTATGCTGTGATCACTTCTGAGTGACGAAAAAGCTTGAGGTTGAATTCGAGAAGGCCAGGGTAGTA